GCTCTAAGATTCGAAATTTCAACACATAATTCACATATTTAGTCAAAAACACCTTGGATAATTAGTAGATAAACTTAGAAATAAATAAACAAATCAGATCTCTCTTGTATTACATTTACATTCAAATTTGATGATGGATCACTATAATTCAATTTAGTTTATTTCTCATGGAATGATACTCTTTACTTACAACATTATTACTTGTTAATTATCTCGTATGCTTGCAAAATTTCACCGAAAATGTCATCATCTATTTTAGGCGTTGTTGTTGTTGTTGTTGTTATTATTATTATTGTTGTTGTTGTTGTTGTCGTCTTTTAGTTGTGTGTATTAATATTATATTTCATGGGTGGAATCTTATGTAGTTAGATTTTTTTTTCTTTTTGAAGGTGAAAGTGCTTATTAAAATCTCCACTCGTCAATTTCAGTTTGCAAATGAAAAAGTGGCCAGAAAAGCAATTTTGGATTTACAAAATACACTGTTATCTCCACTCGTCAATTTCTTTTTTTGGATTTCAGTTGTAGCATTGCTTTCATTTTGATGTAAACATTAGTAAACTATAGAATATGTAGGATGGCTCTGGGAAAACCGACTATTTACTATTTACATTATATATTTTATTGATAGCCCTAAGTAAGGAAAAAAAAAAGAAACCATTTTTTTAAACTTGGACAAATATCCAAGCCAACTAACCAAACCAAGTCATAGGCACGTAGATTCATGCAAATCCCTATCACGGGAGATTGTATCTTTGGTAAGAAGAGATTTTCTTGGGGTATTTGCCAGCCATTAAAAATGCCTGAGGAATAACAACACTCAGAAGAAGGCACCAAAGGGTAATAATTGATCAAGAAAAGGTACAATCAATATCATCATCGGGAAAATAGCTTTAGGATGAGACTCTCACAGTAGCTGGAAGTAGTATGCTATGAAGTACGCTTTTACCTCTAGATCAACCTCCGACAACCTCGAGGATATTAAATTTGAGGCTTGAGATTTGGAAGGTGTATTGTTCCCGCATAATAAACCATGGTCGTGATGGCGGTCATTGCCAACTTTGAAAAAATGATCTTAATGTCTTTATCAAAAATCACATTAGAAGAAATTAACAATGAAAGACCGAGCTTTTTGCAGATGAAATTGTAATCAAATTCCACAAGACTTCAACCAATTTACAGAAGCATATATGAAGTATATATAGCAGTAAAGCTATACATACACTCACATGAATATATCAATTCAACAATCTAAACAACCAATTGTACTACCTAACGATGCAATCAATTTAACAAAATGAAAATCCCTGAATTGATGGAGCTGCCAGGCGAAATCAATTGTGAACGAAGCTCAGCACGATCAACTGTGAGGAGAGAGAGAGAATGAACAGAATAAAGGAAGAAAACGTGTTTTTCTTCATTTTACGTTTTATCAAACTTTGTCTTCTTGTCAAGTTCATCCTCCAAGTTTTGATCTGATGAATATGGTCCTTCAGCTTCAATTTTATCTCCCCCCTTCAAGGTGGAGTTAGTAGATTTAACTCCTACCTTGTCTCGCATACACAGAAATCTGGCAGTGGGTAGAGGTTTGGTAAATATGTCAGCAAGTTGATCTTCAGATGGTATGAACTCAATTTCAAGTTCCTTATTTGTCACCTTATCTCTCACAAAATGTATATCAAGCTCAATATGTTTGGTCCTGGCATGAAACACTGGATTTAATGCCAACGATTTTGCTCCTAAATTATCACACCACACCACTGGAATTATTTCAGACAGGCCTTTGAGTTCACTGAGCAAAGATTGCGTCCAGCAGATTTCTGAAGTTACATGGGCCAAGGCTCTATATTCAGCTTCTGTACTTGACCGGGCGACAACATGTTGTTTCTTTGCACTCCAAGATATCAGATTTCCACCCAGATATACATAGTAGCCAGCTATTGATCTTCTATCATCTGGACAAGTAGCCCAGTCAGCGTCACAAAATGCAGTCAGGTTTAGGTCACCTCCTTTTTGTATTCTTAGTCCATAATCTGAGGTTCCCTTAATGTATCTGAATACCCTCTTCAACA